TTGGAGGACCGAAGCTCACCTTATTCACGGTTAGCTGCGAAACGGCGGCCGCTCCTCTATCCGCGACCTGGAGACGCGCTCGGTAGCATACAGCTCTGCTCTCCGGAGTCTTGCAGTCAGTAATTACTTATGCAAAGGCCAGCGATACCTCCAAGAAAAAGGTTAGGTGGTGCTTTGGATAATATTCTGTGTCGAGTTTCTATGATTCTTTTATGTTTAAATCGCAAATGAACACGGTAAAGTCGGGCATGAAACTCCCAGACCTACGGTTAGTCTACGGAATCGGGTTGTGGAACTTCGGGTGAAACATCAGCTGCATCGACCTGACCATCTGCCACTCTTTTTGGAAAGCTGCCATCCGGAATGTTCAGATAGTCGACAGATAATAGTTGTGGAAAAGGCGAACTAATAAAAGTAGTACTATGTGCAATACACACCACACTGCATGTAGATAAATGTAGTGTTTAGGTTAGTCTGTAGCAAAGATCTTTCAATCAGAGTTGATTTCTGCAACCTTTGTTAAGTTTAAATGAAAAGCGAAACATATACTCAAATAGTAGTGTTCCCGTTCTAAGCATCTGATATGTTTCCAATGCAATAAATTACTGGCTATTAAAATTGGCGCATAATCGGTAAGATTATTATCTTATACTTCTGAGCGAATTCGGCCTCGTAGATAGCCGTGGTTGTTCATTACAAAGTGACATCCCCAGCACCACTGGACCTTCTCGAGGATGCACCTCTAACCCGTACACAGCCTAGTGTTACTTGTAGGATGAAAAGATGATGACTGTAGCCCCATCTGGTGGCCGGTCAGATACTCGCACNCTCGCACGTCAAGATGGATTTCACGCACATTTGTACTTTTTAAACGCAGAGATTACTCACGAGGGCAAACCTGCTACGTCCTCCGGCATGACGATTGATTTTTCACGACTGCTTATTCAACGAAATAATGCACACCTGCTCGCGGTTGATCATACTAGTGGTAGTTCTCTGACAGCCTTCAACTCCCCTGATCACAGCTTTGCAATATTTCACGGTCTCCTCCACGCTTCGGTAGTTGCGTTCGAATTTTGGATCTCAGGCACAAGAACTAAAACCATTGCATTCAGCCTTAGATACTGATCATACTTCTACGTTTAAATGGGATTTACTTGTTCACCGTCAACAGGCGTTTTTCCAGTTTCCAATTTTCAAGCACTTCCGAACAGTATATTATCACGTTTAAATAATATTACCTATTCTGTTTTCTCAACAGCTTTTGGGTGAACTACTACTGGAGCGGCACAATTTCTCCGTGATGACCAAATACATAGCCGATCCTGAAAATCTGAAACTCATCATGAACTTACTCAAGAGTGAAAAGAAACAGATTGCTTTCGAAGCGTTTCACTGCTTCAAGGTAAGTGGTAGCTAGCCACACTACTTTGTTTTCTCTCTCCACCCTCCACACGTTGTACTCTCCCAACAGGGATTGTCAGTAGGCAGTATTTCAAGCATTTTGCAATGGTTTAGTCGCTGTCACGGGTGTGCTTTGGACTCCCTAGATCTGAGGTTCAAAACCCGCCGTCGCCGGCCAACTTTGGTGATAGGTAACTTTTCTGTCGTCCTGTTTACTATCGAGCGAAACCTATGGGGGCCTTATTTGGCTAGCCGCTCCCTTGCACCATGCAAAGTGCTCTTATACGGCCAAGCGTCTCAGATAGTCTCTTCTGATGAGGCCCTACGCTCAGCCTTCCTGTAGTGAAGCTGTTTTCCCACCAAAGCTGGACCTTATTTGGCTGACCACTCCAAGTTCCGGAGCTTAGATTACCGGTTTATACCACTGAACAGCAGGTCTTCGCAACTATTTGTTCCACCCCTTCTGCTGTTCGTCACAGATGTGTGCAATAAAAAAATTTGAAAAATGCTCTCGTTTAGTAAACACGTTAGCACAAAACAGCTGGCATGAGGAAGTAGTTTATATTCAGTTTTACAATGAGCCGTGAAGTTCTGTTTGCTTATTTTGTGGCGGTAACCTTTTTCCTTACACCATATTGTCCGCTGTCCTGATCGAACTTGTGCCGAAGCAAAACCGAAGTTTGAGTTCCACGATCCGGATATACAGACACCAGGTGGCAGAATAGAAATACGGTTGATCACACTTGGACGATTGAAGCTACCAACTCCCTCAGGACCTTCAACCTAATTAGTTGTTCAACAGAAGTTTCTTGTCTTAACCAATCATTGTTCAATTACACTAATTCTCCCTCTGAATGTATTTGATGTCTCTGCACCGAATGTGTTGTCTCGAGCCATTTTGAGGGTGTCGTTTTAGTTTTGGTCTTGAAGTTGACAAAACTACCGAGTTCCGTGTGTGAATCTGTGATTCAGCAAATTTACAAATAATGAAATAAGTCATCGTGTGAAAACCACAACAATTTCTTTCGGTAATATCGTCTCAAGAGTGCTTCTAGCTATCATGACCCATCGAATGTCTGCCTCCCGTGAAAAGGGCACAAGAGAGAATCACCTTTGTTATGCATTTGACCATTCGCCTGAAGGCACTCCTCGTGTGCATGTTTCGTCGATGTCATTGGTTTTTAACGCTGTCGGTTTATACCCTGTGAATCGGTAAAGTAATAAATTTTAGTTGGAAAATGAGCCTGGAAACTAAAGCGATAGAGAAGTTTACTATTGGAACGAGAATACCGACACTGCAGTGTCGGTATTCTCGTTCCAATAGTAAACTTCTCTATCGCTTTAGTTTCCAGGCTCATTTTNGGTGTGAGGAGATACTTAATCGGAAAGCCTGTGTGACCGGGAGTGGGTGTTTCGGGTCTTGACAGGTTACCCTTCCATTGCACTCAGATAGCGTCTGTTGAGGAAGCCCTTCTCACTGCCTTCCCGTAGCGGTGTTTTCCCCTAAAGTCTTAGGCACCCATTTGGAAAAACCTCTTTCCGATCTCTAGTTTCTTTCTCTCAATCCCGAATAACCCCAGACGTCTGGTTACGCCACCCAACGAATATCACTCAGCGTTTTACAAGCAAGCCCAAACAATCAGAAGTTACGGGATTCTTGAAGCCATAATCTTCTTTTCACTTAGCCGCGTTCAATGTCCGCACACTCAATCAGATTGGTCAGCAAGCTGCCTTGGTTAGAACCCTTGAAACTTTAAATTTAGATATATGCTGTGTTTCCAAAACAC